TCACCCCTGTAACCCGAGCAACTCAGAGAAGCTGGCAGGAGATGGCAAGATCCAGGCTAGCCTCAGCAGCTTAGTGAGACCCTGTCTCAGACTAAAACAAGAAAAGATAAAAAGGGCAGAGATGTAGCTTGGTGACAGAGAACTCCTGAGTTCAATCCTTCATACAGGGGAGAAGGAAAGAAGGGAGGAAAGGAGGGAGAGAGAGAGGGAGAGAGGGAAGGAAGGAAGAAAGAAAGATAGGGGGAGGAAAAGAAAGGAAAAAAAAGAGAAAGAAATGGAGGGTAGGGGAGGAGAAAGGAAGGAAGGAAGGGGGAGAAAGAAATTGCCTCTGGCAGTATACAGACCAAGACCAGGCAAGATTGGTTAGGGGTTGAGAATCCATCAGGGACGCAAGATTGCTTTTTTTAATAAGTAAACTTTTTTTTTTTTTGAGAGAGAGAGAGATAATTTTAATATTTATTTATTTATTTTTATAGTTTTCAGCGGACACAACATCTTTGTTATGTGGTGCTGAGGATCCAACCTGGGCCGCACGCATGCCAGGCAAGCGTGCTACCACTTGAGCCACATCCCCAGCCCCTGCAAGATTGGCTTAACACTTGGAATAAACCTGGAGTGCAAATCTCCTTTCATATTTGAATAACAATTTCATTGATTAACCACATCAATGGAATAAAGCAAAAAAAAAAAAAAAAAGAAATAAGAATCATCTCAATTGACACAGGGAGAAATATTTGTGTGCCAGGTATGATGGTGCATTCCTGTTAACCCCAGCTACAGGAGACTGAGGCAGGAGGACCACAGGTTCAAAATCAGCCTCAGCCACTCAGTGAGACCCTGTCTCAAAAATAAAACATAAAAAGGGCTGGGGACATGGCTCAGTGGTTAAATGCCCCTGGATTAAATCCCAAGTACCCACCCACCCTGCAAAAAATATATGGGAGATTCAGAGAGAAGGGAAGGCTAAGAAGGTCCCCTAGGCAGGAATGAATAGGTGGCTGGGTGGGGGAGGTGGGGAGCGAGAAAGGTTTTTCTTTCTTTTCATTTTCTTCCTTGTTTTCAATGGAAAATTGTTTTTAAATTGATAAAAATGATCTATGAGAGAGCTGCCACCGCCGTCCTCGCCAAGGGCGCAGCCAGAAGCGCGGTTCGCCATCCACCGCCTTGGTGATGAGCATAGGAGCCCCAGGTAGTCCTTCCAGGAGCTGAATTGCTGCCGGTGCGCCTGACCCTGGGCACTCACGTAGCGGGCACTGGGCACGACCGCCACGGGCGCGGGGACGCGGCCACGGCGGGGCCAGCAGGGCGCCCAGGGAAAAGCCTCCATGGGCAGGCTGCTGGCTTCAGGCATCACGCCGCCTCCCCGCCGCCAGCGCAGGCTGGACAGAAGGGACAAGCCAAGCCTGCCCGCCGGCCAGCCGCTTAAACAAATTTTTGGTACTAGGGATGAAACCCAGGGGTGCTCTACCACTGAGCCACATCCCTAGCCCTCAATTTTTTTCATTTTCAGACAGGTTCTCACTAAGTTGCTGAGGGCCTGGCTAACTTGCTGAGCTGCAAATGCAGCTCAGGGGTAGTGTGTTTACCTAGCGGGCAGGAAGGCGGAGTTCTATTCCCACCCCAGGAAGGGGGGAATCCTTCACCTCAGTCTTTTCCCAGCTACCCTGAAGCCAGGGTTCTGTGTCCTCTGCATGTGCAGCTACATGCTAAGTTTCATCTCTAAGTGCCCAGAGGAAAGCTTTTCCTATGCACCTGACTGGGAAGGCACACAGTAACAGCACAGCTGCTTCCTGACAGGGTCCTGGGCCATGAAACATCCAGTTGCACCAGGATAAAGGGTGCCTATCTGCCCAATAAGCTCAGGAGAAGGCACAGATCCAGATGTTCAGGGGAGGCCAAATGTCCCTCAGTATCCCCATCAGCTTAGCAGGAAGCTGGACAAACCACCAACGTGGAGAGTAGGACACTGATTGGTCTCCAGAGGGGCGGGGCACATGCTCTAGGCTTAACTGGCTCAGCCTGGCAGAGTGCAGCAGGTGGTTCTCCAGGACTGACATGGGGAGATACCATTGAAGCTGAACATGGTGAGCTGGGAGCAGCGGCTCAGGGAAGGTGGGTGGCATGGAGCTGCCAGCCCATGACCTCACAGTCCTGCAATTCCAGGGTCTGCAGAGTAGCTACCACCTTTCTGTAGCAGAACTTGGAGGTGCATGTGACTTCAACTGGAGGTTTTTTGGAAGAAGGGGGACTGGGAATTGAACCCAGGGGTGCTCTAACACAGACCTACAACCCTAGTCCACTTCCTTTTTTATTTTGAGACAGGGTCTTGCCAAGTTGCTGAGGATCTAATTCACTGGGGCTGGTTTGGAACTTCTGATCCTCCTGCCTCAGCTTCCTGAGCCACTAGGAGTAGAGGTGTTCACCACCACACCTGGCTTTAAATTTTGATGCCATCAAGATCCATGTGATTCAGCTGACTGATACCCAGGCACAGGGACAGATGCTTCAACTCAGATTCTAAGTACAGGGAGTTAGTAATTGAGAGGGTCTGGTGGGAATGGTTGCCTAAGGAGACACCAGGCAGTTAGTTCTGAGGAGCAATGTCAAGGTGGGAGAAGACAAAGTGGCCCAAGCCCAAGGTCACCCTGACCCCTGATAATGGTAAACACCCAGGATTCTGCCTGTTGCAGAATCTGCTCATTCACGTCACCCATTTCAGGGTAAGGCTTACACCAGGTAGGTCCACCATCTGCAAGGCCTCCATCCCTGCTGCTCACCCTCAACTTTGAATCACCACCTGAGGCTCAGAGCAGCCTTCCCCAGGGGGGCATTGGAGGTGGCTCTCTGCTCCCTGCTGGAGAGCACAGAGCTTCCCTGTTACAAGGTGCAGGTTTGGGGGCTTCCCTCCTTCAGCACCCTCCCCTCTACCCTGCTTCTCACCACCTTCGCTGGATAGGCCTCCCAGGGAAGGAACCTCACACCCACCTCACTAGCTCCTCTCCCCACCACCTGACTTCCCAGCAGAGTTCAGCTTCCCAGACCACGGACCCCTGTTTAGCCCTCTGCTTCTGTGTGGGTGGTGATGAGTCCATCCTTCAGGACTAAGCAGGGAACCAGACCCTGAAGTCCCTCGGTCACTCTCCAGCATCTCCTTCTCTGACATCACCAGTGGCCGGGGTATAGCAAGTGCAATTTATTTGTTCATTTATGGTGCTGGGGATGGAACCCAGGGGTGCACTACCACTGAGTCACATTCCCAGCCCTTTTTATTTTTTGAGGCAGGGTCTCCCTAAATTGTTGCAGCTGGCCTTGAACGTATGATCCTCTTGCCTCAGCCTCCTGAGTTGCTGGGCTTTTAGTTCTGTGCCATTGTGTCCAGCAGCTCAGGCAACTGACCCTACCTCAAAATAAAATTATTAAAAGGACTGAGGTTGTATTTCAGTGCTAGAGAGCCTCGGGGTTCCATCCCAAGTACTGAAAGAAACTTTTAGAGAGAAATTATAAAAGCTGGGTTACAATATCATAGAGGATTTGAATCTTAGAGATGGAAGGGAAACCTCTTAATTATCTCAGTTCTGGGTTTAGGGAGACCTGGGATGTCTTGTCTTCTTCAGGTAAGAGGGAATTTCCTGCATAATCAGAGCATAACCTAAGTAATAGAGTTTTTCTTTATTTCTTTTTTTTGGGGGGGGGTGTACTGGGATTTCACTCAGGGGTACTCGACCACTGAGCCACATCCCCAGCCTTATTTTGTATTTTATTTAGAGACAGGGTCTCACTGAGTTGCTTAGTGCCTCACTTTTTGCTGAGACTGGCTTTGAAAGTGCAATCCCTCTTCCTCAGCCTCCCGAGCTCTGGGATTACAGACATGTGCCACTGCTCCAGGCATAATGGATTTCTTCTGCAGAGAACTCAAGTTTATCCAAGGAGGTCTTATGGCTTTCATTTGCCACCTACTGTTAAAGGTGAAGAAAAACTATTTTAGAATCCTGTGCAGTAGGAGATCATAAAACAAATCATTTGCAAATTGAGAGGCATTTCTAGGAGATTGTATGGATGAGAGGTCTTGGCGTGATGCCTGAGAGGGGTGATGTGGGGTTTCAGGGCACACTTGTAGATTCCCAGTCTGGGTGTATTGCTTATTTTTCAGAAGGCAACAGTGTTGGCTCTGCTTATCCCCTGGGTACCAGAGACAGCAGAGTGAAGGTGTCTGCTGAGAACCATTTGGAGTCTGCAAGCCTATTAGTTGACAGGTGCTGGGGTTTGGAATTGCAGGAAATCTTGCATTTATAATTTTATCTATAACACCTAACTCTTGGGTATATGTCCAACCTCCCTTTAGGTTTCTTGACTGATGGGTTGTTAAATTGTGCAAGGATTTAAGTTGTATTCTATGAAGTTCTCTACAGTAGTAGGGCACCCTTGGGTTCAATCCCCAACACACACACACACACACACACACACACAAAGACTCAGACTATTATTCCCTGAACCTCAGTCCTTGTGGATAAAGCTGTGGTCTGTGGTCCACTATGACCTGAATAACTCAGATGGAAATCTCCTACTATCCTCAGATGAACTCCTTTGGAGAGCAGGTTAGTGTTCTCAGTTCCGTGGGCAACCACAGGCGCATTACCCCATCGAACAGCCACATGCATCGGAACGAATGGCACCCAGAGAGAAGTAAAGAATGGAGGGTATACTCAGAATGGCCGTGCACTATTGTGATGCCATGAGGTCCTAGGCTCCAGTGTCACTGATCAGCACTGATCAGCCACTGGGTTAGCTTCCTGACCTTTAAGCACACATGTCCCCATTGGTTCCAAGTCTCCTGATGGGACCCAAGCCTCTGTGACCCAGGCCTCCTGCATCAGCTTTTCTGTTCCCACTCATGTTAAGTAGTGCCCTGGCATCCTGTTTCTAGTTCCCCTTGGAGAGACACTCGTGTCTTACCTTTATTTTCAAGTGCACAGGAGAACATTTCTCATATATGCATCCCACTAGGCAGGCAGCCAACAGCGACACGGACTGGAGGGCAGGTTATAGATAAACCAGTTGCCACATCTATGGCAGGGTTTAGTATAGAAAAGGATGCTCTTTGGCTCTCTCACATCCCTCAGTTTCTCCACCAGCTCATCGATGAGTTGGAAAAGTCTCCCTGGGTGGATGGCACCCTGAGCATCATAGCTCTCCAGAGGGGCAGGGTACTTCTCTAGGCTCAACCGGGTCAGCCTGGAAGTGTGAAGCAGCAGGTTGCTCAGGAATGACATGGAGATGTCATTCCCATTGAAGCTCAATACCCTGAGCTGGGAGCAGCAGCTCAGGACAGGGAGGATGGCCTGGAGCTGGGAGTTGGTGATCCCACAGTCCTGCAAGTTTAGGGTCTCAAGGGTGGCTGCAGCATTCTCTAGCAGAATGACGAGGGGCTCAGGACTGAAACTCGTCAATTTGCTGCCCCACAGCGTCAGGTGTATTAGCTGGTCGAGGTTTGGAGACCCCGACAGATCATTCCAGTCTGGATCTGAGAGCAGGCAGTTGGTTATTGAGAGGGTCTCCAGGGGGGTCTTCAGGAGCCTAAGCAAAGTTCAAGCAGTTAGTTCTGAGGAGTGATGTCAAGGTGGGAGAAGACAAATTGGCCTAACCCAAGGTCATCTTGACCTTCTGATGAAGGTCTCCACCCAGGACTCTGCCTGTTGCAGAATCTGCTTATTAGTATCACCCTGTTTCATGCTGAGCCTTTCACCCTCACTTGAGTGACCGGGTGGGTCCATCATCTATAAAGCGCCCCTCCTGGCTGCCAAGCAGAAAGCCACAGCTGTAGCAGAGGGGGTCAGGGTGAGACATGCACAAATAACAAACCCAGGCAAGATGGAGCCGCGCAACCTGGGGTTGCCCTCCTGCAGGGCTCACACCCTGTACCCTCCACCCCTGCTCCTCACCCTCCAGTCCAGAATCACCACCCAGAGCTCAGAGCAGCCTTCCCCAGGGGGGCATTGGAGGCGACTCCTCTGCTCCCCGCTGGAGAGCACAGAGCTTCTCTGTTGAAAGGTGCGGGTGTGGGGGCTTCCCTCCTCCAGCACCCTCCCCTCTACCCTGCTTCTCCCCAACATTGCTGGACAGGCCTCCCAGGGAAGGAAACTCACACCTACTCACTAGCTCCTCTCCCCCCACCGGGCTCCCCAGCAGAGTTCTGCTCCCCAGACCACGGACCCCTGTTTAGGACTCTGCTTCTGTGTGGGGTTTATGTGAGACCTGGCTTCAGGACAGAGTGAAACAAACACTTCATTGACTTTCTAACATCTCCATCAATGTTAAGTCACCATGGCTGGCACACAGCAGGTGCCCGCTGAAGTTTCATGTGACAAAGCTTTTGCTCTGATGTCCTAGGACAGTTCCCTCTTCTTCCTCACCTGAGCACCTGGCACAGACGGCCTTCTAGGAAGAAGACACCATCCAGGTACAGCCTCCGGAGGCTGTCCATCTTGGCAAACTGTGAGGTAATGTCATCCATCAACTGATCTCTCTCCTCCTGGGAAGCATAGGCAGACACATAGACGTGGGAGAAGAAGAGCTTCCTCAGGTTGCTCATCTGGCCCCAATAGGTGGCAAAAGTAGCCAAGGTGGACAGTCTCCAGAAACACTGCACATCCAACTGCTGGATAAAGTCCAGATCCAATCTCTCCAAGATCTTCTCGATGGTACAGACGGGCAAAGAGCACATCTGTAGCTTCTTGCAGCACAGCTGTATCAGACCCTTCCTCTCATCCACCCTGTGAAAGAGGAAGGAGAGGAATGCATTCAGGGGTCTTTGCTGTAAGCACAGGTTTACTAACACCTTCAAGGGCAGAGTGGGCCCTGTGTCTGGAGAGGCCTTCACTGTTTGCCTCTCCTTCATGACTCCTGGTGAGCAGGCATCGACCACGGCTCCAGACCACGTCCTCCAGAAGTTCCCATGAACCTTCCGCAAATCCAGCACCTGCAGTTTCCACCTCCTGCGGGGACCACAGCAGAGTCTCAGCCCTGAGGCCCCTTCCTTCACCTCTCAGCTGCTGCCCCCTGCTCCACCTCTTCCTTCTGTCTCACTTTTCTCCATCCACTTCCCTCCAATCCAGCCTGGTGCCCCCACCTGTACCAGCGGAGGGGCAGGCACAACCTCCTTCAGGGGTCAGCACAGCTGCCACAAGCACCTCCACATCTGGAAGCCCCTCCCAGGTGGGGCTCAGCATGGCCAAGGCCTCTCCACCCCTCCTTGCTGGCAGCACAGGAAGCCTGTTGGGCACACTTCAGCACCCACTCTCCCTGCCCACAGCCATCACTTCCCTGGACACCAGGGCGCTCCCTTCCAGGGTCCCCCTCACCTGGGGCGATCCTGCTGGGCAGCCAGCATGTCCAGCCCATCCAGTGCCACTCGGATCATCCCCAGCTGTAGCGTATTCATCAGGGCCCCCAGGGGCAGGCGGGTGAAGGGCCAGGCCTGCACCATTTTCTTCAGGACCTCAGTGTGTCTCCGGTTGAAGGCCTCCATGAAGAGTGGTGGGAAGAGCTGTATGGGCAGGTCCTCCAGAGCTAGGATGGCCCTGGACTTGTCCTTCAGGAGGCTGCGCCCTGCCAGCTCCTGGAGTGTGGGTGGGGTCTGCTGCTCATCCTCTGGAGTCTGCATGGAAGGATCCTGGGGGATGCCCCACCGAAACACATCATTCACAGCCAAGCTCCATAGCTCTACCTTATACCCACCCCAGGAAACCCCTCAGCCAAGTGGCTGCTTTGGCAATCGATTGATCCAATTTCACTCTTTGTGTGGCAAACCAGGCCTGGTGGTTCAGGCCTATAACCCCATGGTTTGGGAGACTGAGGCAGGAGGATCACAAATTCCAGGGCAGCCTAGAACTTAGTGAGACCACATATCAAAATGAAAAATAAAATAGGGTTCGGGATGTAGCTCAATACTATATTGCTCCTGAGTTCAATCCCTAGCTTCAGTGAATTAATAACTAAAGTGGGTGTCATTGATTTTCATTTTTAAAATGAGCAATTTTTAAATCAATTTACTTACTTATACTTTTCTTTTTTTGGTGATACTAGGGATTAAAGCAAGGGGTAGCTTACCACTGAGCTACACCTTTTCCCCTTTTGGTTTGTATTTATTAACTTTATGGCACAGGATTAAACTCAGGGTGCTTTGCCTCTGAGCTACATCCCCAGCCCTGTTTGTTTTTGATACCAAAGATTGAACTCTGGGTACTTAACCACTGAACCACATCCTCAGCTCTTTTTATTTTTTATATTGAGGCTGCTTAGGGCCTTGCTAATTTGCTGTGGCTCAGCTTCCCAAGCCACTGGGATGACAGACACCTGTCACCACACCCGGCTCCCAACCCTGTTTTATTTTGAACAGGATCTCACAAAGTTGTCCAGATAAGTCTCAAACTCCTGATCTTCCTGCCTCAGCCTCTTGAATAGCTGGATTACAGACAGGTACCACCATGAACAGTTTAAATGTAAGCAATGTTAAAAGCCACATATAGTATTTGAGAGCATTGGAAGTAAGAGATGGAAAAAGCTAACTCTGAGATGAGGCTCGATTGAAGAAGTATTTTGAAATTAAAGGTGATAAAGAGGTGGAAATTCATCTAAAAAAAAAAAGAAAAACAGAAGGAAAGAAATTCAATATGACCTAAACCAAAGCAGAAATCAAAATTATTGGGATAAAGGCAAAACTGCATTTAGAGACAAGAAATGCAGACATCTGGTCCTTTGGAGAGACAGAATATGATATTCTTTTTGCCATCACAAACTACGTGTCACCATTTTTTGTTTCTTTTTTGGTATTGGGGACTGAACCCAGGGGTGCTCTAACACCAAGCTACATCTCCAGCTCCTTTTATTTTTTATTTGGAGACAGGATCTTGCTTTTTAATTGCTGAGGCTGGCCTCCAACTTGTGCTTCTCTTGCCTCAGCCTCCAGAGTTGCTGGGTTTACAGACATGTGCTACCTCTCCTAGGCTCTAGGTAACTGGGTAAGACTGGCTGAGAGTAGACCCCATAGAGGTTCTGTTTTGAGTTCAGTTGCCCAAGCTGGTCTTGAACTCCTGGGCTCAAGCAATCCTCCTGCCTCAGCCTCCCGAGTAGCTGGGACTAAAGGTGTATGCCACCAGGCAGCCTGAATGGGGTCTCCATGGGGTTTGGTGACTTACCAGAGCTGGACAATTGGCAGGGAGTTCTGAATCCTAGCAGTGCCAGACAGTGACACAGGTTGTAGGCTTCTGTGCTTCTTTGGCTCCTTGAAGCTTTTATGGGGTCTTTCTAATTCCCCCTCCTCTTTTCAACTCCTAGCTCCAATCAGAGTTATCTGGTTAAATAGTTGAATCTCCACCCACTTAATCCCACTGAACTTCTTCTTTTTTTCCCCCAAACTAACTGATTTAATCAAAAGTCCATACCTGAAAGGGAATACCTGAAGAGTAGGGTCTCAATGAAGGACACATTAATTGTTCACTCTATATTATTGATTGACTTTTATTAGTATTTGACTTTTAGAGTCCTGAGTGTGACACAGGAAAGGGTTAAATCTGTTTTTGGTCTTAGGGAAAATCAACTGAATGCATCATTCTTGGGATTTCTTTGGCCATGCCCGCCTATATGTCTCTCTCTATATACACAGAAATGATTTTTTTCGGTACTGGGGATTGAACCTTGGGATACTTTATCACTGATCTTCATCTCCAGCTCCTCGGATTTTTTTCCTGGAGACAGGGTCTCACTCAGTTGCCAAGGCTGGCCTTGAACCTGCCATCCTCTTGCCTCAGTCTCCTGAGTTACCAGGATTAGAGGCATGCCCCACCATCCCAACGGGCCACATTGAATTTACACACATATGTCAGAGTTACTCAGTGTATTAATGTCACTTGGGTTTTATGTTTCCTAACATACCAGTTCATGTGCCCACTTAGGCAGGGAGAGAGGAACCCCTGAGGACATGACTGATCTTCAAAACTTGGGTCCAGAGGATTAGGCCACAGCTATAATGGGAGCAGAGCTGGGGCCTGGGCCGCTGAGGCTGCTGCATGTGGACACTGGAACTCTGGATCACCAAGGCAGTGGGAAGTACATGCAGCTATTTTTGGTGCCTGCCTGGGGCTTTGTTTTGGCGTGGTGCAGTTCTCTTGGGTGGTGGGTGTGGAAAGATTAAAATATCTGTTTTAGAAGGAGTTTAGAGGTCAGAAGGGGGAAGTAGCTACAAGAGGGACAACAGAGACCCTTCAATCTCAGTGCTGTCCTTGAGGTAAGGGAGGGAGATGCCTTCTTTGATTCCCCAAGAAAGAAAAGAGGAGTCTCCATCTAGGATCAGCACAGTCAACCTGATGGACAAGATTACCTCCAAAAAAGTGAATTGACACAGAAAGCCAGAGAGCAGGTTCACGGTCAGAACCAGGGGAAGAGAGTCTAGACAAAAATCCACTGAGAGCCAGGCATAGTGACCCACACCTGTAATTCCAGCAACTCAGGAGGCCGAGACAGGAGAATTGTGTTTGAGGCCAGCCTGGGCAGCTTAGCAAGGCCATTCCTCAAGATAAAAAGCCAATCAGCAATTGGGGAGCCTCAGAGTTATAAAGTTGAGCATGTTTATGCAACCTGTCAGACACAAGTGCCTATGGGAAAATGCAAAAGGGATCTTTGTTGGTGTGTGTTGGTGTTGCAGCTCCAGGGATTGAATCCAGGGTGCTGTCCACGGAGTTCCACCCCTAGCCCTTTTTATCTATCTATCTATCTATCTATCTATCTATCTATTTATTTTACCTTCAGTGAAATTTTATTCTAATTCTTTGAAAATTGACAAACCATCTCATATTGTAAAACTCAAATCACCAAAACATTTTTCTTGATCCCCATATCTCCACTCTCTGTTGTCTCAGTTAAATGACAGTCTCTATAATGAACCTCAACTAACTAGAACTTTCTTTCTTTAAGTATCTACCTATTTATTTACTTATTCTCATTAGGCCTATATGGCAGCAGAATTCATTTTGATTCATTGTACACAATTGCAGCACAACTTTTTATTTCTCTGGTTGTACACTATGTATGTTGCAGTCATATGTGTCCCCAGCCCTTTTTAGAATTTGAGCTAGCCCTTGATAAGTTGCCAAGGCTGGCCTGGAACTTGTCATCCTCCTGCCTCAGCCTCCTGAGATGCTGGGATTACAAGTGTGCACCACCACACCCAGATAGTTGCTCTTTTTGTTTTTGTTGGTTTGGGCTGTGCCTTTTTCTTAAGTGTTTAGCAGAAATTACCCATGTTCACTTCACTTATGTTTGCAGTTGAAGCCTGCTTAGGATTATTTTTAAGACATAATGGGGGTTTTTGATGAGAAGTATTTGAAGCCCAGCCTTCAAATTTGACATGTCTTTACCTCTTTCTTGCTTTGGAGCATCTCTTGAGGCAGCTGAGCAAGAGGGTTGAAATGGCAAGGTGTCACTCTCAACTGCCACCCTTGACTTGGTGCTTGGGACTAGAGACAGGTAGATGTTTCTGCCACCCAGGTAACAATAGAGTGGCTCTCCAAAAACTGACTTTAGAAGAGACAGAAAATTCAGGACCCCAAGTAAAGTCAGGCCCATCCAGGAAGCAAAGGAAGACAGGGTTTCAAAGGCCACATAAGGTGCTTTGAAACCATTATCATTGGCTGCAAGGATTCAGTAACAAGGGTGGCCTTGGTCCAGGATGACAGGGACCTGCTGTGTGGGTTTCTCCTCAGAAAAAAAAATAATTATGAGTGGGACACAGTGGTGCATGTCTAAAATCTCAAATGCTCGGGAGGCAGAGGCAGGAGGATTGCAAGTTCAAAGCCAGTCTGAGCAACTTAGTGAGGCCCTAAGATTTTGCATAAGGCTGTGGTTCTGTGAGTCTTTTGTGATGGCTCCTGTTAGCAGGCAGTTGTGGTTCAGGATGCCCACTTCCTAGCACCCTGCCAGCCCTGCTGTGTTGGAATGGTGTCATTTTGATGGAAAACTTTCACCATTAGCTTCACCTGTAAGTACACAGGAGTGCACAGCTGATAGACATCCTCAGCAAGGACACAACCAGAGTTGGTTTCTTGAGTTGTCTGAAAGTGATGGCAGTAGTTTGGAGTGTGTATGGTTGTAGGAAAGTGTTTAAAACTCTTTAAAACCAGGAAACAAGCATGGGGACTATAAAAGGACCACTGGCCAGTGGCTTAGGGATAGGTATGCTCATGCTGCTTTCTTGCTTATTTATTTATTTTTCATACCAAAGATTGAACCCAGGGTTGCTATACCACTGGATGCCTAAAGCTCTGTCCTTGTCCCTTGTCGCGACCCCTTGCCCGCAAGGAAGACGCAACTCAGGAATCTTCTTTCAGCAGTTTATTCAGGCCCTTGATATTTCTTCTTCTCCCTCTCGGATGCCCCTCCCAGCCTTAATAAAGCATCCCAAGCCCCAATGCAAAGCTGCCGCGTGGAGCTTTCTCACAGGGTGGTGAAAAATCATGTGCCAACTTTCCCAGATAAGGAGTTGTTTGTCACAGACCACAGCGGAGCCAGCATCATCTTGTAATGGCGACCATAGTCTGCAGAAACGGCAGAAGCGGCTCACCACAGTTCCCCCTTTTCTGTTTTCTTAAAACAATACAGGCGAGAGTA